GGCTAAGCTTCTTGCTAGGGTTTCACATGAGTTTTGGTAGCCTCCATCCTCTCTCCTCTTCATCCTATTGCTCTTGGTGTTTGTGAACCATTAGAGGAGTGATATTTGTGACTCTAAGCTTTCTAAAGTCATTACAAGAAGGATTTGTGATTGTTATTGCTACATAACAATCAAGTTAATATCTTAAACCCATTATTATGTTATATTGATTATCATATGCTAGATCTAGGGTTTATAGTCTTGGATAACTTGCATGTACAATAGAGAAACCTAGATCCAAGCATTAGGGTTTGTATCAGCACATAGGATGTTCTTATGACCAAAACCCATCAAAAATCACTCTCCAAAGCTCTCTCACACACTCAAGACGGTATAAGGCTTTAACTAGGGTTTCTCTAGGTTGTAAGGACGATGGGGGAGGCTACAAATGATCCATAAGTTCTTTATATAGGGTACAAAACCCAGAAAATTAGGGTTTTCCTCTACAGTGTCTACTCGTCGAGTTAGGGCCTTCCAACTCTTCGAGTAGACCCTAAGTCTCGCGTCCAAAATGATTTCTACTCGACGAGTTGGATCTCCCCAACTCGTCGAGTTCCAATCTAAAACCCTAAAATCTTAGTGAAATATTAAATGATACCTGAAACAAGGGTTACACTTTTCACGCGGATTGCCAGCGCGGCATGGCGACAACATGTCGTCGGTATAGCTCACCCAAAACGGTATCATTTCTTCTTTCTGCACCATGGAATAAAAATAAATGTAAATTACATTTTTCGTGACTTATACCGACGGCATGTCCTCAACATAAACTATAACAATACCTCGAAAAAGTTTTCGTTTCCCGCCGAAACTGTGTAGACGACATGTCGTCTGCATAACGTTTCCGGAAAAACTCAATTGGTCAAAGTTGGCAAAAACTATGTCGACGACATGTTGTCGGTGTAGCCTTGCTTGTAGCGACGACTTCTGTCGTCTGGATAGGTTTCGTCCACATAGATAGTTATTCTTGTAGTGTTTAGTTGTATCAATTACATCAATATATATAAGTCTTCTAAATTCATGCCTTGCTAACCTCCAATAACTAACCAAAGATAACTAATATGATTATACGTCAAAATAGTATGTTATGTTAGAATTTAGAAAAATCTAAGGTGGTGTTTGGTTTGCAAAATGTTTTTGAAGGAACTAGAATATATTAAGGAATTGGAATCTTCCAAGAATTTCAATCAAATTCCATATTTTGTTTGGTTGGCAATAATGAAATTTGAATCCAATTACATATTATGTTTGGTTGGCAGAAAATGGAACTGAAATAATATGAAATGACAAAATTGTCCTTTTTTGCTTATTTTTACTTTTTTTTATAACTTATATGTAAAAGTATATTATATAAATTATAAAATTAGTAAATGATGGTGATGGCGGCAGTGATGCTGACGATGGAGATACTGGTGATGATGGAGACAAAGGTGATGGTGGGTAGTGGCGGAGGTGATGACGATGGTGGAGGTAGTAATTGTGATGGTGATGGTGGCGGTCATGATTAGTGGTAAAGGTGGAAATGGTGGTAGTAATGGAGGTGGTGATGAAGGTGGTGGCGTAGGTGTTGGTGGTGGTGGTGGTGGAAATGATAGTGATGGTGGTGACAGTGATAGTATGGTTGTGGTAGTGGAGGTGGAAGGTAGTGTGGTGGTATAGGTGGTGATGGTGGGTGGTTGTGGTGGTGGTGGGTGGTGGTAGAGGTGGTGAGTATCGGGTGGTGACGACGGTGATATGTGGTGGTGGTTATGGCGGAGGTGACGGTGCTAGTGGGTGGAGGTTGTGGTAGTGAAGTTACCAATGGTGGTGATGTGGGTGGCAGTGGAGGTGATGGTGGGTGGCGGTGGAGGTGGTGGTGGTGGTGGTGATGTTGTGTAGCGGTAGTGATGGGTGGTGGTGGCGACAGATAGGTTTAATGTGTAGTGTTAAAAGTAAAAGGGAAGTGATTCGTACACAACAATTTTTTGTCATACACAACAATTTATGCATTATAGAGTTGTACAATACAACACTTTAAAGCACAAATTGTTCTGTACGGAGAAGAAGTGTTGTGTACGAATAGGTTCCCAAAGTAAAATGAGTAATATGGTAAGATTCAATATTCTCATTTGAAAGGAATTTTAATTCTTCAAGTTTTTGGATAGAATATATTTTCCCTCATTGGAAGGAAAATTTGACTCATTTAGAAATCCAATTCCTTTTGAAAGCTCGAACCAAACAAAAGAAAGTAATGGAATTAGATTCAAATTTTCTTCTAATTCCAATGGATTCCAGCGAACCAAACGACATGTAAGAGTCCATCTCTTAGGTCGGACGGAGTGGATAGTGGGGAGAACGCGGGATCGTTTCCCGCACGAAGAAACACCGCATCGTGGGTACGGGAAGAGGGTGGGGGGAGAGAGTCCTGCTCTTTCTCTCTTGAAACGATTGGCTGCTTTTTTTTCTTTTTTTATTCCAAACAGCTATATAGCTGTTACATATGTATGTGTGTGTGTGTGTGTGTGTATATATATATATATATATATATTCTTTTTCTTTCCCTTTTCTTAACCTATAAATACTACAACATTCTACCATATTTTTTACCGATAACCTATATTTCTCTCCAAAAAATATTATTCAAAATGTCATCATCTTCATCATGCGATGCGACAGCTGTAGAGGAGGCTAAATTTATCAGTTCTATCACGGCGAAAACGGTTGCATACTATCAAAACCGACTAGGCGAAACATCATGTGCACGACCTAAGCTAAGAAATTCGCCGTTGCGTAGAAATAACGAAGTCGGACACGATCTCCTTATAGAAGATTATTTTGCAGATAAGGCTATCTACGCTGTAAAGTTTCGACGTCGGTTCCGGATAAGGAAGGAACTATTCTTACGTATTGTTGGCGATTTGGAAGGCCGCTTTCCATATTTCCAATGGAAAATGGATGCAAGGCAGAAAAAAGGTTTCTCTCCCATTCAAAAATGCACGCCTGCAATTCGTCAGCTAGCATACGGCATGGGCGCAAACAAATGGGACGAGTATTTTAGGATGTGAGAGCGTACCATGCGGGAGTATGTGTACAAGTTCTGCAAAGCGATCTATTTGGTTTATGGGCAACGATATTTGCGCAAACCAACTATCAACGATATTCACCAATTGTACACGGTGCATGAAGGCAAGCATGGATTCCCTGGAATGCTAGATAATATCGATTGCATGCATTGGAGTTGGTCATTATGCCCCAATGCATGGCGTGGTTAGTACATGAGAGCGACCACAAAGAGCCGACAATCATTCTAGAGGCTATCGCATCACATGATCTTTGGATATGGCAAACATTCTTTGGTCCAGCTGGTGCAAACAATGACATCAATGTGCTAGACCAGTCGCCGGTATTCAACGATATCTACCTTGGAAAGTCGCACAATGTACCTTGTCAAGCAAATAGGGTAGCATATAAGCATGGATACTATCTTACTGACGGTATATATCCTCCCTTGTCTGTTTTTGTGAAATTGTTTACATGTCCTAACGACCAGAAAAGGAAAAAGTTTAAAGAGGCGTAAGAGTCAGCTAGGAAGGATGTGGAGCGAACATTTTGTGTACTTAAGAGACGTTGGCAAGTACTAATGGCCGGGGCAAGGTCATATGAGGGGAAAAGGTAACAGCATGTAATGTATGCATGTATCATATTGCATAATATGATTCTTGAAGACAAAGGAAGAGCGATATGTCAGTATAACGAAAATGAAGTTTTTCCAAATGTCGAAGGAGTAGCCGTTGGTACACAAGAGTATAGGGTAAATAGAAGAGAAGTACACAATCGTGACATTCATCACGCCCTTCGTGCTAATTTGGTGGAGCACATTTATAGGGCTCATATTCAGCCCCCGTTAGAGTTTTCACACAATGATTTGTTTGACGAATCAGACGAGGATTCTGATATGTTCGTTGAGAGTGTTCCGACGACAAGAGTAACGCTTGGGAGAATGACGAAGATGATCAAGGCGATGACAAAGACGATGAGGGCGACGACGATGATTCCGAGTGACGTATTTTGGTTTAAATAAAATTAGGATATTAATTAATTATGTTTTCTATGTTGTGGGTTGTTTTATTTTTTATTTTTATTTTTTTGCGTTTTTTCTACTTATTTAAATATTAGGTTTAATGTAATTTTTATTTTAATTAATAAAATGCTTTTTATTTTTAATTAAATTTTATGTTTAGTATTAATTTAAAAATTATAAATCATAAAAAAAAAATTAATTTTATTTAATAATAAAAAAAAAGTGAGAGAAAGAGAAGTGAAGGAAATGGGGTATGACTCACAAAAAGTAAGAAGCTTTCCTCCAACACCCTCCGGTCTTAAGAATATAGGAAAGTGCAACATTCCAATCCCAAACCTAAAGTTAAACTCTTAAGATAGTTTTGATAAAAAACAATATTGTGTTACACTTGGCGTGACCCATGTGTGAGGATTGATTAAACTGGATCGTAGGGGATTGCATGTATACTATCTTTTTCCTTTATTTGTTTATTTTTAAGAAATGTATGGATTGGGTTGGGAATATAGTCTGGATGTAGTGACTAGTTTGTAATCTCCAAAGAAGAAGAATAAGAAAGAAGCATCATATGCCAAACATGTTTAGATAGGTTAGGAATGATATAACTCAAGGTTTGACTTGAATTTAAACACAGTAATATGTATATGCTAAATTCTTCAAGACAATTGATATAGGAATTGCAACTATTTGACTCTTGAACTTAGCCTCGCCTTGTTCCTCCGTACATATTACTAACTGAATTTTCTCATGGTCTCTCTTCTCTATAGAGAAAGGAAAACCAGGCTTTAAAATTACAACAAAAAACCCCACAAAATGTGGGGGAAAATCCTTCAAATAAACACAAACTCCTTTAATTAAGATTTCGGCAGTGAACTTTATGTCGAGAAGTTACAAACAATTAATTTTAGTTACCATGAGTAAGTGCTCCGGCCGGCGGCGGCGGCTTAGTCATGGATCCATCATGAACTTTCAAATGTTCAGTACCTGAAGTCGATTGTTGAGAATTGACAGCGTTAAGGGAGGGAGGAGTAGCAGCAAGATCTTTTATGTCCAGGTTTTGGGTCAAAGACGGAGGTCTTGGAGCCACATCTTGAAATGATAATGGTTTGTAATTTGTATAATCGGAATCACCACGGTTTTGCACGTCTTCTGCCGAAGAACACACAAGCTTCCTGACTCCTGAGCGAGATGGTGGTTTGTTGTTGGTACCACCAGAACCAGCACGGTTTTGGCTGTCTTCTACCTGAGAAGGCCAAAACTTCCTAGATGGTGCTCGAGACATTGGAGGAAGAGATGTTGAATTGTTGAACGTGATTCCAGTCCCCAGATTAAGAGGGCTACTTATAGGAACAATACATGCACATCTAGTAAGGTTGCATTTTCACTTGTGAAATAAATGTTTTTTTTTAACTTATATTGATAAATAATTTTATTTTTATATAATATTGAAAACGCGTTTTACGAAATCTTAGAAAATGGTTTACTAAAAACTCAATGGATATAAATAATTTAGAATGCTAAATGTAGATTAACATATAAAATAATATTTGTGGAGTAAAAATTAATATAAAATGATGTTTAACCCGAAGTTTCTTTTTCCTTATATTATGCGAGTTTTAGTTTTGATAATATATTTTTTTATGAGACCAGAAAATGTTTAAAAATAAAAATAAAAATAAAAATAAAAATAAAAAGAATCAAGACGTTAACACCAAGGTTGTCAAGATCGGGATCCTACCTAAGATCGTTTTTGGGTTTGCAAAATCGGAATCGTAAGATCGGGATCGAGATCCTAAGATCCCACAAAATAGAATATAATTCTAATTTATAATATTAATCATAAAAAATATTTCAAACATTTAATTTTTCGTTCAAAATGTATAAAAACTTTAAAATATTAATCATAAGTCACAATAAAAATGATAAATGGTAGATTGGTAAAGGGTAAAAGACATAAAATGGTAAAAAAAATTCATTTGAAATTTTTTTTTTAAGGAAGGTAGGATCGGATCGGATCTCGATCCTACGATCCTACCTACGATTTTACGATCCTACCTGCGATCCTACCCAAAATACGATCCTTTTACGATCCGGATCGTTTTTCATACTTAGGATCGTAGGATCGTACGATCCTACGATCAGGATCGCGATTTTGACAATCATGGTTAACACGACGTGAATATGAAAGGAATCAAATTATATAATTAACTCACAATGAACAGATGCTTCGTTGAATAATTACTAATGACGGTTTTGTTCGCTAGAATGTAATGAAATCGGAAGAAATTGAAATTCAATTCCATCATATTTCACTGTTTCGTTTGAATGGAATAGAAATTCATTAATGGAATTTTAATCAAGTCGGGAAAAAGATCTAGTCAAGTCTCGAACAATAATAACCAAGGTATTAAATGCAATAATTAAGAAGGAAGAATAAATGATTAAGTAAGAAAATAAACACAAAGAGAATGTAAAATGTTGTTTGGTTCGTGGAATGTTGCTGAATGAATTTGAATTTGAATTGGAAAAATAATATGTTAGGAATTTGAATCCAATTCTATGTACTATTTGGTTCGCAGGAAATGGAATTGGAATTAATTCCAGATTATATTTGGTTCGCAGGAAATGGAATTGGAATTTATGTAAAATGATAGAATTGTCTTTTTGTCTGTTTTTGCTTATTTTACTGTAACGTCTCAACAATCATAACAATTTTAAACTTTTCAAAACAACTCATAAACATAAAATGCTTACAAAATCATTATTTTCAAAGTGCTTATCAATATCAGAGTATCCCAAATCCTAAGGCCATAAAACATGAGGATGTGTATAGTCACGCATTCGCCTTTTCGCGATCATCAGAAGTACCTGTAACAATAAACTAAAACTGTAAGCCAAAGCTTAGTGAGTTACCCCAAAGTATCTCCACATAAACATAACAAACAACAACATGCATAAATGAGCCTTTAGCCTGACTGGACCACCTCGCAGGGCCTATAGCTTGTAACACTCCAAATCAGGTAATACCTTTGAATCCCTTGAAATTTTAAATATTGCATAATAATCCCCTTAAGTACGTTTGGCATACTTCATGGGTACGCTTAGCGTACCATGCATGGATGATCGCGGAGGGCTAGCACATACGATGGGCGTACCAAAGGGCACGAGGGGGGTACATGATGGATGTTTAAACCCTAATTTGCAGACTTGAGACCTATATAAGCATCATTATCTCATTTGAGCTTCACCCTAACCAGACTCCTTCACCTTCAAACATCCTTGAAAACCCTAAAATCATTAGAGAGTGTGTTCTTGAGCTTTTGAGTGTTTAAACATCATCCTTTTTATGTGTTAGCTACAAAGAAGAAGAGGAAACAAGCTTAAACGAAGACGAGCTTCTGGATCTTACATTTTGAGAAGTCTATGAAGCTTAAGGAGGTAAAAAGATTTCACATTGGTTATAACTTCCATTTCTACAGCTATGGTTTTCTCCTTAGTCCCTTTTTGTGTTCTTAAACCACCTCTTGAGAGTTTGAGCAACTCCAGAGCTTAAGGAGGATAGATCTAAAGTCCTTTGGTTCATTCATAGCACAAAAAATGGAGTCTTGATGCGTGTTTTGACCTCATGCATAGATTAAGGGGCTGTTTGTTTTTTGTTTGAAGATCTGCGCAACCATTTTTGTCTGCGCCGCGCAGACATATGCCTTCGCAGATTGTTTGGTTTTTGAAAGTGCGCAGATCAGAAAACGTCTGCGCGAGGTCTTCCTGGTGCAGACATGGGCCACTATCTTCAAAGGTCTTCAGACCTCATTTTAACCTAAACCAAAAAAAACATGGGCCACCGTGCAGTTTCTTTTTTCTTTTTTCTTTTTTTTTTTTGTTAAAAATGCATTTTAATGTTTATGACATGAAATTAAGTTTAAAAATTCATTTTATTTTAACAGCCCGCAGACGTTAAAAACAAACAGTCTTTTTATTGCAGACTACAGACATTTGGTCCACCTCTTCTGCCGCAGAAGCTTGTAAATGTGGTCAGTAGACTGCAGATATTTTAACTTCAAAAAAACAAATAGCACCTAAGAGTCTTGGAAAGGTCTTAATGGGTTGTTGGGAACATATGGGACATGCAAAGGCATAAAGTTGCCAACTTTATGCCTTAGGACATCTTAATGAAATCAGATCTAAAGTTTAGACGTTATAACATCGAGTATTAAGCACTTAATGGAAAATGTGCATAATATGTTTGTACATTGGGCGTAACTTAGAGTACACAGCGCTTACAGCTCAGGGACTCAGTACGTTGTGCGTACCAGGGTGGTAAGCAAGGCGTACACACATCAAATGGACTCGAACTTATTTTGGGCTTGTAAGCCATTGGGCCTTAATTAGTCATTGAGCATGGTCACATTTTGGAGTTGGTGAGCCAACATATCTATTTTGGGCCATTGTTCCTATGGTTAGGATTTACTGGGCTGTGAGGCCCATTAATGATTTTGGACATAGACTTTAGGCCCATTAGCAAAGGAAGACTTTTTGGGCCATTATGAAAGGACTTGGGGTTTGGGTTATTCAATTGGATTGTGTTTGTTATTGTTTAGCATGGGTGGTTACGGACTGTTAGGAGAGTAGCTTTCAGATTCAGCAAACAAATGTGAGTCTCCTCACCATACCAATGGGTCTAAGGCACCAAGGTCGGTCCATTTTGTGATATGTGGTACACTAGATATAGTAGAGATATGTGGTATGATAGTTAGCTATATGATAAGTGGCATGCTAGTGATTATATGATATTGCATGGAAGACCATGGGGGGCATGGCACTTGGACAAGACCATGTAGGGGAGCCCATGGCTTGATAGTTAAAGACCATGGGGGAGCCCATGGCAGTCGAATGAAAGATCATGTGTGGGAGCCCATGGTTTGTCGGTTAAAGACCATGGGGGGAGTCCATGGCACCTTGGTATAAGACCATGTGGGGGAGAGCTCATGGCATCCTTATATGTTTGTATGCATGGCTTATGTGATATATGTAGCTTTTATAGCTAATATGATATGTGTTATGTGGATTGTGTGTAGGGTATGCTCTGGGGAACTCACTAAGCATTAACTTACAGTTTGTGGATTTGTTTCAGGTACATCCGAGCCTACGGGCAAGAGCAAGGCTTGATGGCGCGGCATGCACTCTCTCTCTCTCTCTCAGGCGTTTTTATGGGACACTCTGAAGATATATATATATATATATATATATATATATATATATATATATATATATATATATATATATATAAATTGTCTCAACTTAGGAATAGTGAACTCTTGGTATTTTGGGTAGAAATAGTCCTTTGTTTATAGTGGCATGTGCTCTTTTCACTTTCTTGCTCTGCATTTATCTTCTGGGCAGTTTATGTCATTTTGTCCAATCTTTGTGAACACGTGTTTGTCACGTATTTCCTTTGATGGACACGTGGTGTTTTACCCTCGCTTTACCGCTTTCTCACCCATTCAGCTTCTGATTTATGTTATTTCCCCACCGACTCACCTACCACCCCTATTATTCCATATTCCTTTTTCCTCTCCCAATTTCCAGTCGTTCGTTTTTATTTTTTTGAAACAAAGAACAAAGTGCACACAAATCGGTTCTTCCCGTTCTTTCTCCACCGCCTTCTCACCCTCTATCCTCATCTCTTTCACCCATCTGCCACAATACCACCGACTTTTGTATCTCTCTTTTAAGATTTGATCAGACTTCCAATTTAGCGGAATTGATTTGGTGATGATCGACAAAATAACAGAAGAGAAAGGTTGGATGCAAGGAGGACAAATGGTTCCTTGCTCCATCGATTAAACGTCCGGCTCATCAAATTGGATGAATTTTTTTAATTTTGATGTTGAACAGTTGACCCCACTTGGGATTTTGATAAAAATGTGTTTGTATTAGTGGGTTTTTTTCTATTCGATTCGATTGATTGCGAATTGACTTCAGATAAACTGTTGTTCTTTTCGACTTTTAAGTTCTTGATGATGTTTGATTTAATGTAGAGCAGACGAAGAGGTTTTAGGAAGTGTATTTAGCTTGAGATTCTGATATTGTGACTGATATGGTTGTTGATATGAGCGAAGAAGATGAGTCAAAAGGTGGCATGTGAGCTTTAGAACGGAAGATATGAAGAAGTGTAGATTAAAAAACATGTACGATGAAAAGGTAAAGTTTTTGCTACTTTTTGGTCATCTCTTTCATGTTTATTGTTTAGGTTTTCAATTTTCATTGATTCTTCACTTTTTT